TTTTGTAACCTTGGCGAGATCTGTGCCTTGCCACAATTCTGTTTCTGAGCTCTTCAGGCAGTTCCTTTGACCTTATGATTCTCATTTGCTCTGACATGCACTGTGAGCGGTAATGTCTTATATAGACAGGTGTGTGGCTTTGCTAATCAAGTCCAATCAGTATAATCAAACACAGCTGGACTCAAATGAAGGTGTAGAACCATCTCAAGGATGATCAGAAGAAATGGACAGCACCTGAGTTAAATATATGAGTGTCACAGCAAAGGGTCTGAATACTTAGGACCATGTGATATTTCAGTTTTTCTTTTTTAATAAATTTGCAAAAATGTCAACAATTCTGTGTTTTTCTGTCAAAATGGGGTGCTGTGTGTACATTAATGAGGAAAAAAATTTAACTTAAATGATTTTAGCAAATGGCTGCAATATAACAAAGAGTGAAAAATTTAAGGGGGTCTGAATACTTTCCGTACCCACTGTATATGTTCAGAAATAATATGAGGAAAATGCTTCTCAAAAGTCAAGGTAATTCAAAAGGTATAACACCAGGGGGGTATTCCAGAAAGCAGGTTATGTGACATACCCGGGTATGTTTAAGGGTAAGCAAGCGGATGAACTCAGTTGTCGGTTCCAAAAACGGAGGTTAATTTCAGGGTATGTAAGTAGCCATAGCAACTTGCTCTCTGAAGATAACCTGCTCCAGAGTAGGTTCTGTTTCAGGGTTAGTTCACTTAAGAGCTATCAGCACATGCGTGACATTTTCTATCATTTATTTCTATAATAAAAATGCATATCTGATATGACTTATTATATTATTAGCATCAAACAATATAATTCTTATTCTGAAGAATTCAAAATTAAATGGAAAAAAAGAAAAATGATTGCACAACCACCAGTTAGGTGGCGATATGAACCAAGTATGCAAATGGCCTTTGAACGGAAGAAGAAAAGTAGTATGGCTCGCCTTTTCTTAGCATCCGTTTCCATAGTGACTCGTCGATTCATCGCTCTGTTGAGAATGCCTTGCATGTTAACCAGGAGCATACTCTGTGTTTAATGAACTTACTCCCTGGAACCAACATACTCCGAGTAAGCAGGTTTTGGGTTAATCAACCGAAAGTTCAGGGTTTAGCTGACGGTAAGTTAACCGTGCTTTCTGGAATACACCCCAGTAGATTATTATTTACTATAAATGTTCTGTAAAAACAATGAACAGCAGCTTTCAGCCTGTCGCCATGATGCAAACATGACATATCAGACATACAGTAGTTCTTCACAGGTTTTTTTATTCGATTGCGCTGATTTTCCATTCCATTTTTTTCTATGTAAACATGAATGCGTTTGATTATTGTGCTCGCATCTCTTGTAGCATCTAATGCATGAAACGCCATTATAAAAACACGGCACTCAAGTTAAAAGAAGTTAAACTCCCATCTTCTTGCATGTTTTTCCTATTCCACTGCCTGCATCGCATCTTTGTCAACACAAAAGCGCATTGTGTGATATGAGCGCGTCACACGTGAGCGGTTAATCTTGTGCGCCAACATGCAGTTGGATTGTTCTTTTCGCTTTACTGCTATCATTGGCATATTGTCAAAGTGTCTAATTCTAACGTTTGGTAATATTTATTTTCAAAATCGCGATTTCTAAAAAAAAAAAATAGTGGCAAAACTTTAAATTTGAATTAATCAATCAAATAAGTTAACCGTGCTTTCTGGAATACACCCCAGTAGATTATTATTTACTATAAATGTTCTGTAAAAACAATGAACAGCAGCTTTCAGCCTGTCGCCATGATGCAAACATGACATATCAGACATACAGTAGTTCTTCACAGGTTTTTTTATTCGATTGCGCTGATTTTCCATTCCATTTTTTTCTATGTAAACATGAATGCGTTTGATTATTGTGCTCGCATCTCTTGTAGCATCTAATGCATGAAACGCCATTATAAAAACACGGCACTCAAGTTAAAAGAAGTTAAACTCCCATCTTCTTGCATGTTTTTCCTATTCCACTGCCTGCATCGCATCTTTGTCAACACAAAAGCGCATTGTGTGATATGAGCGCGTCACACGTGAGCGGTTAATCTTGTGCGCCAACATGCAGTTGGATTGTTCTTTTCGCTTTACTGCTATCATTGGCATATTGTCAAAGTGTCTAATTCTAACGTTTGGTAATATTTATTTTCAAAATCGCGATTCCTCGATTTCTAAAAAAAAAAAATAGTGGCAAAACTTTAAATTTGAATTAATCAATCAAATCTGAAAAATCTCCCTACTCAGCCGTTATATTGACACACAATTCCTGTTTTCCAGGTCAACTGCCCCTGTTTATCGCCAGTCAACTGCCACTTCAGAGACTCCGCCCCTGGCCCTGCCCTCTGAGATGACTGATGCCCAGAAGGCCAACGAGCTCCCTGAATGCCCCACAGAGGGCGGGGCCACAACAGAGGAGCTGGACATGCCCCTGAGACAAGAGACCACGCCCACCAGCTCACCATCATGCGAGGAGCCAATCAGCTCGCAGAGTCCTGATAAACAGCCTGCCCCCGGCCTGCTCTCCATGCCATGCTTACTAAAGGAGCTTCATAGAGACTCCGCCCCTGGGCAGCCGCAGGAAACGGACCCGCCCCCGGCTGCCGCCCAATCCTGCGCACAGGACGACAGTGACTCCTCCGTCTGCCTGCGGTCGCCTTCCTCCTCCGGTCACCTTGGAGACTCCGACACGCTTTCATCGGCGGAGGAAGCGCCGGCGCCCGCTCAGACGGCCGGCAGGAAGTCGCGGCGTTCGCATTCTGAGAGCGACACATCCTCCGTGGCAATGGTGGCCAAGAAGAACCGCTGCCAGGAGAAGCAGGTGAACGGGCGCGTGCGCATCAGAGGCCCGCGCAGCCAGCAGCAGAAGCAGCGCATGCGACAGCTGCGGCAGAAACGCGAGGCAGCGGCGAGACGCAAACCCGATGTGCTCCAGGACAGCAGCACTAGCGACAGCGACATCACAGCCCACTCATCCTCATCCTCACCACTAACGGCCTCGTCCGACAACGAGGGAGAGGCAATCAACTCTCACGCACCAGGTAACTGAACACACACACACAGCATTTTGTCTAGGCTACCTTGTGTGGACACGCATACATCACAAACAAATCGATTCGCTGATGCATCACGGTTCTTTCTCAGATGATTCTGGATTGATTTACATTCTGGATTGATTGTTTATTATGTAACGACCAATATGACTTAAGTGTCTGACAACCAGTGGAACCAATTTTTTATTGTTTTATTTTTGCAATTTGACAATAACTAAATCGTTAGATTACAGCAATATATATATATTTTCAATATTATTAGTAAATATGCTATTGATAATATTAAATGTTAATGACAGTAATACATTACTTATCTGACCATCTCACTTTTAATTACTGTTAAGAAAATAACATGCCAGTAAATAAGCAATACATTTATCTATCTATTGATGTTATATTGCTATTAATAATAATAATAATTATTATTATTGTTGATCTTATTATTTTTAATACATTTCCTAAAATATTTTTTATTATTATTTTTAAATTTTTCATTGTGTAATTATTGGTATTAATAATATATTTTATTAATGTTAATTACAGTAAATAATTGCTTATCTGACTGGGAAAAAAAACTTATGGTGCCAGTAAAATCACAGCAATAAATGTATATTTATTTTTATTATTATTTTTAATGTATCATTATGTATTATTATTATTATTTCAATAAATAATTACTTATCTGACCATCTCACTGAATGACTTACAAAATAAGAATAAAAATAACTATACGGTGCCAGTAATCGGTACACATTGTTTTTATACTGACTTATTTTTATTTCTGTTTTTGGATGAGAGCAGGCGTACTATAGTATAAAGTAGTCTAAAATCTCACTAAAACCCTTTGCTGTTGCTGGAAAAATTGAGATGCATCGAGAATCGTTTTGGAATCAGATTGTGACTCTAGATCGAAACTGAATCGTGAGGTGCGTGAAGATACTCCCCTCTAGTCTTCAAACAAACCAACACCTGCAGTGAAGCCATTTTGACGTTTCATTTCTCTCATGCATTGTTTGGTGCATGTTTCCTGACTGACGGTTGAATAAACACTCATAGATCAGGCAAATCACACACCAGTCCCCTCACAACACATGAGGGATCTCCTGCAGCGCTCAGGTGGGTTTTTCTGTGCATGCATGTTGAATGACCTCATATGCAAAGCTGCAGGTGAGGAATGTTTTTTCGCTCTCAGAATACAACAGCGTTCTGACCTTACACTGACCTCAGTCTTTAGTGACCACTAACTCTGGATAGTCTTTAAAAGCTTTCAAATCCAAGGTAAAGTCAAGTATAACAAAATACACAGCAGCTAATTTGGGTAAGGTTTTTGTACATTTACTAGTCTAAAGGCTTGTTCACACCGGGAGGAATATCGCACACGATTATCGCCGAAGTTTAACGCCTTGTGACTAAACAAAGGGCCCCAATGTGAGTGTGAACACAGACGTGCAAAACGCGAGGCGTAAAAGCGGCACTTTTTTAAAAACGCCTCGGGCTCGTTTTTTTGGTTTGATGCGCCGCGTTAACTGGCCGACCAATGAGATTGGTGCTTTTGTTCACGTGCTTGGAGCTGCTGAAGTTACAGTAAAACACAACTTGGTGGCGCTCAAGCACAAAACGGTCTTGCTGAGCACACTTGATACCTAACAACGAAGAGGAAGTAAGTAGACCAAGAAGATGCATCGAGGCAAGATGAATGTAGCTGCTGGTCTCATTGGTGTCTGAACACAAAGGACTTTATGACAAATGCGTCAGCGACTACAAAAATCTCGATAAGAGGGAGTTGTTATGGAGAGGAATTGCAGATCAAATAGGATTCGATGTGTACCGGGGTGTTTCTGTTTTTAATTAAGTGCCATCTAATGTCAGGGAGTGAATTTGCACATTCACTCGGCTCATCACCAACGAAAATCGCTTGGTATGAACACAAAAGACGCGTTGAAAAACGTCTGCGATAAGCGCGCGCGATAATCGTCCCGGTGTGTACGAGGCTTAAAGCTGTTGCTTTTCTGCCGTCAAATGTGCAAGCAAAAGATATTCTCTAAAATAGCAATTAAACACAATGACATTATAATCAAGTATATTTGTGATCAACAATGAATGCTGATGCACAAAATTAATTTCATTGTAATGAATGCAGTGCAAAATTAATTTGATTGGAGGTAGGGATGTAACGGTATGAAAATTTCATATCACGATTATAGTGACCAAAGTTATCACGGTTTTCAATATTATCACGGTTTTGTTAAAATTAGATGAAAACGTTCAAAAAGAACTGATACACACACTGAAAACATTTCAATAACTTTTATATTTGAAAATCAACAAACAACAAATACAATTAGCAGCTATATGCACTTTTTTTTTTTTAGCAAAAACATTAAATTAACATTAACATAAAGCCCTAATAATAATAATAATAAATCACGTGTGTGTATGTGTGGAGATCTTGTGATGCTTTTTAAAGCAAAGTTGGGGTTGATTTCGAGTTCACATACAAACACAAATAGAACAGGCTGATTAAATTTTTCAATTTTAATGTAAGACAACGCACGCGCAGCGCAGCGTTGTCAAGGTAGCATTTGGTCAGTCATTCCCTTCGCGAAGGGAGTTTCAAACGCTTATACGAGACAGTAATACCCTGCACCCTTCAAAGAACACACTTCAGGGGCTCTGCCCTTCGAAGGGAGTAGGGCATAGGGATGCTCACTTCTGTTTGGAA